TTGGGAGGTCCTGTAGAATAGGGGCTCAGCTTCCCTCTGAGGGACCTGCTTCTTTTCTTCTGCCTGCTTTACCTTTGCCTCCTCCTGCCCTGCCTGCCCCTCTTTTGCCTGCTCCTGCACTGCCTGCCTCTTTTTAAAAAATATATATTTTTATTGATTTCAGAGAGGAAGGGAGTGGGAGAGAGAGATAGAAACATCAATGATGAGAGAGAATCATTGATCGGCTTCCTCCTGCACACCCCCTACCCTACTGGGGATCGAGCCTGCAAATCAGGCACATGCCCTTGACTGGAATCGAACCTGCAACCCTTCAGTCCGCAGACTGATGCTCTATCCACTGAGCTAAGCCAGCTAGGGCCCTGCCTGCCTCTTTACTCCTGCTACTAAAACCTTACTCTGTCTCTTCTTACACACACAGAACCGGACCCAAGGCGGCAAGGTTTGAGCCATTTCTAACCAGCTGTCTATGTAGGGAAACTGACCTGGGTGTCCAGGGTCTCCTGTGACAACTTTCCAGACCGCCCTGACCAATCCTTCATCTAAAGAGCCTTCTGAGGACCAGCTGACCCTGAAGGCTGGCCATTCTACTTCACAGAATTTCCTTAGTGTTTCAGTATTCATTTTAATACCATAATCTCAGTTGAATCCCTTTAAAAAAATTTTCAACGTGCAATTGAGAACAGTGGGTTTACTCTGTCTCAACCCCATGATGATCAGTGGCATGAGACAGACAAGGGAGGGGGTGACCAGTTTTCACAGATACTCACTCAAATGCCCGCCTGGCTGAGTCCCTTGGGAGCTTAGATTCATCTTAGCTAAGGTGCACCTGTATAAACCTCAGGCCTGGTCACCTCCAAGTGGATGTGAGTCACCGTTATGCCCTATGACAAATCGCAGAACCACAGGTTGGGGTCCACTCAGACTCCGTAACCAAAGTCATGGAACCACACAAAGGAGAGGAGAGGGCAGGCCCTTTCCTTCCACACTCACACACTTTCACCCGTCATTCACTCAGAGTTTAAACAATCTACCCAATTCCTGACTAATTGCCTAAGGAAGCCGTATGACTTCCAGAGAGGTGATCAAGCTTCCCCTTCCACTCACTTGGAGTGGGCCTGACTGTGGCCCCTACCTTACCAATTCTGTCGACAGGTCCAGAAGTGTCTGTCCACTCTCTCCAGATGCCGGCTGTGTCCGGGAGCGCCCAGAGTCCCCTGGTTTAACTCTGCTAAGATCAGCAGCATGCGCATCCCGGAGGACTGTCCAGCGCCCTGTGCCCCAAACCCGGTCCACTCACTGGAGGCCAAAAGGCCAAGCGTGGGTTGTTTCTCCCGGTATTTCAGGGAACCATTAATGTTAGAGAAAACTGGAAAAACATCAAGCAATGTTTGGAGAGTTTGGAATTACACCTTTTTTAAATATTCACCAGTGGGTTTAGAGAAAAATGAATTCAAATTCTAAGCAGAGCTACAAGCAGAACTTCCCTTTTTATTAAAGAGCCAGCCCTATGTGGGCTTAGTGGTTATCTCGCTAGTGGCCTTGAAAACAACACAGTTCTATCCAATTAAAAAATACACCTGGCATGGCATGAGAATATGGGCATATCTAGTCTCTGGCCTACAAGGTCAGACAGCTAAGTTTATCTTCCTTATTATTCAAGCAGGCTAGAAAGCAAAGTTATTTTTTTTCCAGATTAAGAGGCTGTCTAAAAAATAGAGAATTTCAAACAGTAGTTTTACAAAATAGGGGTTAACCTTCTCACCTTCATAGACAGTAGAATTGATAGTGGCATAGGGATGTGTGCAGAATTTTTATTTTTATTTTTACATGCTTATATCATTTAAATGTTTATAATGATCTTATACTTTTAAAATTTAGTTTTTAAAAACACCATATTTGATTAATCTTTTCTGATGAGTAAAACCTATTGCACAAATATGTATTGTGATTGTAATTGAAGATACTGGAGGGGCATGTTGACATTCTGACAGAACAGATAAAAGATGGAGTTAAGTACTATTGTGAATTGCCTATTGTGATTCTATTTGGGAGACCCCTCAGGTCTTTTGTATTTGTGTTGCCTGTTTTTATTCCTGAATTAGAAAATTTTGGTGGTGCTTTTGCTTGAAAATTCCCAATGTCTTTTTCCCCTTTCATTTTACTTAATGAATTTAAAGTTATTTCATTTGTCTGATAAATTCCCAAGGAAATCTGGCATAATCTAATTATTTTAGTAATAGCCCAGAAAGCTTAGCTTTCAGCGCCTAAGTGTAATGGTGACTTTCTTGTATTTATGAGCTGCTAGAAGCATCCAGCTAATTATGTTGTTTTTTTTTGTGGAACAGAAGAAAATCAATATGATCTACCCAAAGTTTTTGCTCTTCCATTCTAGGCCCATAACTCTGTAATAATTTGCCAGTCCTCCCCTTTACCTGACCAGAGCAGGAAGTATATTGTTTAACTGTAACATGAGGGAGATATGCAGTTATTGATTTAATGAATACATATTGTGCCCCTGAATTATGAATTGTGCTCTTAGGATGCAGTGGTCAATGAGAGCAGTCATGGTTCCTGGGACTTAGACCACCAGAGAGACAGACATTAATCAAATTATGTCTACCAAGGGAGACAAGAGTTTGAAGGAAGCAAACAGTGCTATAAAAGTCTTCAGGGATGGCTTCCCTAAAAAAACTGATGTCTTATCTGAGAAGAGTGATAAGGAGTTAATAAGGTGAAGAGGAAGAAAAGGTGTTTTAGAAAAAGAGAAACATTTTTGCAAAGACCTTAAGGCAGCGGTTCTCAACCTGTGGGTCACGATCCCTTTGGGGGTCGAACAACCCTTTCACAGGGGTCGCCTAAGACCATCGGGAAAACACATATATAATTACATATTGTTTTTGTGATTAATCACTATGATTTAATTATGTTCAATTTGTAACAATGAAATTGGGGGTCACCACAACATGAGGAACTGTATTAAAGGGTCGTGGCATTAGGAAGGTTGAGAACCACTGCCCTAAGGTAAGGGACAGAATACTGAAAGATGCCCACTATGAATAGAATACAGAAAGGTAGAGAAAGGTGGTATTATTTAAGGCCAAATAAGTGAGCAAGGGCCAGACAATCACCTGCCTTGCAAAATTCAAGCCCAGCTCTGCCACTTTCTACCTTTATGACCAGGGCCAATCTATTTAATCTCTATGAAACTCACTTCCTTACCTAAAAATAGGGATAATAATAATACTAACCTCACTGATGTTTGCGAAAGTCTAAATGAGAGATTATTGCACATAAATATACATAAATATTTAATCATACTGGCTCAATGATTAAATGACAGAATTATTAGAGGTGATTCCTAAATGGTCTTCCTAGTCCTCTACAATCAATCCTCTGGTCATTAAAATCCTTCTAAAGCATTGCTACTCATACACCTACATTTATTCAGCTCAAGAACGGATCCCATCATTTACAGTAGATTTCTAGGTGGAGGTTTCTGGACTCAGTAGTAAATATTCCGATAATTGGTTGGTAATATCTGCCATGGGTACTGAGTGTAATATGCAACAGGTGTGCTATTCCTCTGTCCAGAATGCAAGTACTTTCTTAATCTACCTCTTTCCCAATTTCAGTCTCCTTCTCTACTACCTTCTGTCCTCTTTCCCAATTAGAAATGTACCCAAAACGTTGTACAAATGTATCCAAGCACCATGTACCTCAAAAATACCAATAATGAGTTTGTTAGGCCTTGTACAACTATGAGCACCCTTCATTCCACTGCACAGTAACTAACTGCACATCATGTTAGTTTTTTTGTCTGGAATATTCTCTCCAATTCAAGGAACTCTTATTCATCCATAAGATCCTGTGTATCCTATTTGAGAAGTCTATGCCTCCGTTGTTCTAGGTCAGGCCCCTTGGATATCTGCTATCACAGAAATGTGCTCTTTCTTACCTTAAGAGACCTGTCTTAGTTTCACAAAGTCAGCAATGTGGTTGCATAATTACTGTCTGAATCCCTCATCAAACTCCCAGCTCACAAGAGAGGGAACTGTACCCATTTCTGCCCTCTCCATCCACCTCTACATCGCCAGTACTAAGCATCCTGTCTGCCTGGATGCCCAATAAAGCATCCTTGTTAAATATATAGATAGCTTTAAGGTGCTGTCTTTCTCATGTACCCTTTAGTAATTTTTTTACCAAATAATTCAATATGAAGCCAAACTTCAAGTAAGAAAAGAAGGGAAAAAAGATAGATGGATATTTATTTTAAATTCCCATGGCCTCTTGGTGGTCCTTAAATTTTGGTGAGTAGCAATTGCTTACTACTCTGACCCTCCTTGTCCCAAAAGCTTCCGTTATCCTTGACTGAAAGATCTGCCTAGATTCCCCAAATCATAATGGGAACACATGTGCCAAAATAATGCAGAGATCTAAAGGGAAATAGATGACTCTCCCTTTCTCCGTTGGGCTCTTTTGATGTGCTAATTTGTTATGTGTCAAAGTCAGAGGTTTCGTTTTATAGTGAAGATCAAAATGAGAATTCTAGTTCTGTATCCATTATTAATTCAGGATTCACACTGAGAAGATGGTAGATAGTGTATGGAGTCTATTACTAATATCCAGAGCTCTATAAATTAAAATCGAGGAGAGAGAAAGTAAAAGCATACTCTCCTTAGGGGAATTCTGATTTCAAAGTTTACCAGCTAATAACCCTCCTCCCCCCCTATACCAATTAACCTTAAATTTTAATGACAATAGAGTTCCAGTACTTAGCAGGAAGGAAAAAACATCTGTAATATTGAGGGAGACTCTATTGGAAAGTGTAGGTTTTATAAGAATTTGCCTATTTTATAGACTCAGGATAACTCTGAGAATGACATCCTCTGGACCTCCATTTTACATTATATGCATGTTGTTTTGGGACTGACAGGGATCTCAAAAACTTCTAGTCTAATACTTTCATACTATAGATGAGAAAATAAAAACGTAGTTATAACTCAATCTGTGAGATACTCCCTAAACCAGCATTTTCAAAGAGTATTCCTTGAACCTAAGTTTTGTGAAATGCTAATATCTGTTTCACACAAGGGGGAAAACGCATGTCATCAATTTTTTTTTCTTGGTAAATATTGACTTAAAGCAGAGTCAAACAAGAGATCTCAAAGCCTTTAGTTTGTTAGATGATGAAAAGAGAAAACAGCAAACAATTTCACCATCAGAACTATTTTTATGACTGTTTCTCAGGACCATGATCACTGAAATGTATTGGGCAAGAAATGCTCCTTCAGCCCACGTTTAAAGGGATTTCTTCGGGGAAAGCTAGAAATTGGTAAAGGGAAAGATAGTCAAATTAATTGAGCTTCTGAATAGACTGACCAGCAAAACAAGATAAAAGCAAAGTGAAAAACCACAAGGAGTGTCTTAAGGCCAAAGAAGAGAAATCCATCCATTTTGGCGAGAGCCTTTCTTAGTAATGAGACCCCTGCTACTTGGTTCACTGAGGCAGCCTGCACCCTGGGGTCTAGCAAATAGCTTCCCCATAGACGGCTTGCAGCACTTGCTCTGATCTCCCCAAAAGACTCAGGATGGAACCCAAATATAGAGTTGTGCAATAACTGGACTCCTCTAATATTCCTTCACACGGGATATACAATGGCGATTGGGAGCCTTTGAAGTAATTGCACTTGGCCTAAATCAATTCTGCCTTTGGTTACAATCAGATAATACTGTTTTAAATTGTTGCCTAATGTATTTGTGGGTTGTTAAACATCAAGTGCCTTTCATTTCACAGGAAATGGGTTTTGACTGTATAAAGCAATCTTTATGGGAAGTTTGTATTTCTCTTTATGCTTGTGAAGTGCTTTGGGACAGAGGTCAGTATAAAATCTAGATTTATTACTAATATTAGCAATAGTAAAAGTGTTATGAAGCCATTTATTCTGCCTTTAATATTGATAGCTGAAGGGAAAAAAAGGCTGATTCTCCTATATGCAATGGCAGATTCGCCCAGAATTATAAACATCCATCTTTGTCATGTGCTCCAAGTCCTCACTAAAGGTATGTTGAGAGGGGCTAAATGATGGTTTTGGCAACAGAGCTTTGGGCCTGGGCTGTCTGCAGTTGAAAGCTATGCCTTCCTCAATGGGCAGAGTCATGGGAAAGAAGTATGCAGAAATGGAGTATCAGAAAGCATCTAATGCTCATCCCAAACTATAAGAAGATTTGCTCAGGTTTTATTTTTATTTCCATATTTATTTATTAGTCTTCACTAGAATGATTTTAATGAAGTTATCTATAGGCTTTTAATGCAGTGCAGGGTAGAAGAACAAAGAGTGATTTCACTGGCCCCCTGGAAATTAGATTTTAAAAACTGTATTTTCAGATCTTTTGAGTCAAGCCAGACACAGACTGTGCACTCTGACATTGGGTTTTCATGTGCATTCTTTATCTGGAATTCCTCAATAGCAAATAAATATTTTCCATTCAAACATGTACTACACGGGAGAAATGGAGAAAGGTCTGTTTTTCATGAAAGTCAGCTTCTAGGAACCTTTAATTATTTATTCTGTTGAGCTTGTTAAATTTGTTTATGAGAATGCAAAGGTTGTTTTGGTAAATATCAGCAAACACATAAATCTCAGTTTATGACAGTGATGGCGAACCTATGACATGCGTCAGAGGTGACACTCGAACTCATTTTTTTGGTTGATTTTTCTTTGTTAAATGGCATTTAAATATATAAAATAAATATCAAAAATATAAATCTTTGTTTTACTATGGTTGCAAATATCAAAAAATTTCTATATGTGACACGGCACCAGAGTTAAGTTAGGGTTTTTCAAAATGCTGACACCCTGAGCTCAAAAGGTTCGCCATCACTGGTTTATGATGTTGTATAGTTCTTCATAGGAGATAATGAAGTAATGCAAGCTGGACTCCCTCAAATTCCAGCTTGCATTACTTATCTCAAAAAAATCCCTGTCCCTTACTTGGCATTATAGTAAACTAGAGGAAATGCAGTGAAGCTGAAGGACTGCTCATGGAAAGTTGTTTTAATATGGGAGAAACCAGAATATGTTTAAGTGCTGCAAAGAAGATCAAATAGACAGATCACACTGATGATACAGGGCAGAGCATGAATAATTAATAGTATATGGTTCCCAAGAAGATATAATAGGAAGAATCCAGAGTATAAGTGAAATTGAGAGGAGAGCAAAGAGGCTTACAGATAAGGGGACGGGGGGAACTCTTCTCCCTTGCCTTCTCTACTTTCTCTTTAAGAGATGATCACCTACTAAGAGGATGAAGGACATAGAAGGAGACATGTTCTGCAGATACCAGAACTGGATGAGCCAAGATAGGTCCACACTGACTGAAGGCTCAGTTTAAGCTGAGACCATGAATTTATAACAAAGTCAACTTGCCAGATGGAATAATTTTATCCAGCAGTGCTCAGCTGACCAGGTAACACTAAGAGAAGACAAGTGGCTGGGTTACTGATTTCCAGTAGTATTTAAGGTCAGGAATGTTCAGATAAGGAAGGTCAACTTGCAGAGGTTAAAACTAAACCTAAATGAAATGGAAAGAGGGAGAACCCTTAACTGTCTTGACCTTGAGGGGCTGTTTCCAACCCCACCTAGCAAGGGAGGATCTAGGACAGAAATGCTAGAAGTCAGAGTTCTTGAACACAAAAGCCCAGAGACTTCCTCTTTGTTCTCTGCAGCTCTACCTCCCTCCTGGTTTGGATATGTGGGGAAAATGCCTGTATTTTAGCACACAATAGGTCCTCAAAAATGATGACTGAGTGTGTAACAAGTCTGTGATGTTCTCTTTAAAAAGCACACTGGGGCTCTTGAATCTTGGCCACTGACATGCCATCCAGACTGAGGAAGACCTGAAAACTTCAGGGCCATGTGAGCACAGCCACGGCCACATTCACA